TCGGCACCCATCTGACCAAATTCGACCAACTTTTTTTTATTTTACTTGTAGAAAGCCGTAGAATTCAAAGAAAAAAAGTTGATCGAATTTGGTCAGGTGGGTGCCGAGATATCTTCGATCAAAGATTTATAAAAATCAAAACGTCTATCAAATATAAGCTGCGGCAACATTGTTTACAAACTTTGATCGAAGATATCTCGACATCCATCTGACCAAATTCGATCATTTTTTTTTATTTTAATTGTAGAAAGCCGTAGAATTTAAAGAAAAAAAAGTTGATCGAATTTAGACAGGTAAGTGTCGAGATATCTTCGATCAAAGTTGAAAAAAATTTAAAAAAAATTGAAATGATCTACAGGGGTGTGGCATTATTATATAATTTTCTTAATTAGTGAAAATATAAATTTTGACCAATGACTCTTGTTACCCTGTTTTAATTAGTTACAATTATTACAACTTTTTATAAATATTTTTTTATAAAGGGGTATGAAATATCACAGCTACATCAAGAGATTTATCTATGAAGAATATTTTGATCCTCAAACTACTGATGAATCTACATTTCTCAAGACTTTGTTTAATAATCCATTCTTTAGAAAAGAATGTCTGGTAAATTATTCCTTCCGATATTATGTTCATTCATTTAATGTTTAACGATCATTATTACCGCATTACCTCGGTAGGTTCAACATCAAAATACATGGTGTGAAATGAAAGGTCTTGTTGATGAGGTAATATATAAGAGATTGGATTGTCAGGTTACAAATTTAGATTTTTTCGATAGACTATATAATCATGGTATAATATCTTATTTTCTTTTCTTTTTTATTCATTTAAAAAATGTTTATTTAAATTCTATATTTCATTTGCTAAAAGATATCCTACGTTCAAGCGGTGCAATCATAAAATCCTTTCCGATTTACATTAATTCATTTCCAGTAACTGACAAACTTCGCCAGATCTTTTTATTACCTCAATCTTCAAATTATGACTTATTTAATGATAATGACCGTAACGAGTTTATTTTTCATGTACTTCAAGGTGTTTGTCTTGGTGGTGATATTTGTCAGTTTGAAGATGAGATTAATAAATATTTTGAGGTTGTCAAGAGTATTTATCGAGATTTAATTTGGTAATTTATGTAATAATAATAATTTTTTTTTTAACCAACCTTGTAATTTTCGTTCATATTAATTAATTCTATTTATTTATTTTATTTATACCATTATTCAATTTTAGTGTTCAGAGAAATACAAGCACTGGAAATTTAATGGTACAATCTTATGTTTATAAAATAAAAAACTTACAGGGTACTTCATTATTACCACCATTGTTTCCAATTTCTGAAAGTAAAGATGAAAGTATAGATAATGTTCCCTCTAATAATTTTTGCTATGTTACGGTCGATCCTGTCAGAAGATGGGTCAATGTTTGGTACCATGCTGCTTGTGAATATTTTTGTTGATTTTTTTTATTTCGATTCATATGTTGCAAGAAAATTATTAAAGAATATTAAAAACGAATTTAATAAAACACAAAATTTTTCTTAGTATAATATGATTTTTCACTTTATCTAGGAAAGCACAATAAAAGGTAGTTTATTTATTATATAACGAAGTATTATTATTGCTGATGTGACTAAAATAATCACGTTGGATTAGATTCTCTACCATCATTATTATAATAGGAACGTATAGTACGTACATGTCAGCGATTGAATTAAATGTTTATGTCGTTGGCCACGACATTTTTTCCAGCATTTTAAGTATATCGTATCCTACAACCACTGTTGGAATCCTTTTACACATCATATAAAAAATTTAAACCAGATTTAAAAGCCATTTATTATAATATATATAAAAAAAAAACTTTTTTTTTTTTGATAAGCTGTATAAAGTCGTTTGGTATTTCAAACCAAAGATTAAAGGTACAGGCATTTTTCAGTTAATCGCTACCTACGTCACCACACCTATGATGTAGAGAACTACTAATTACCCTAGAGGTGGCGTATTGTGGCATAAATAGTCAATTATCAGGTTTGGATAGATAGAATTGCCCTATAACGATAACAGATAAAAAGCTACGGCTTATAGCAACACGGTTGACGTCATACGTCAAAATATACGTCACGTCGGATTTTTATAGGCCGTATATTTAAATATTAAATTACAGCATTTATTGGTACAAGTATATATCTAACAAAAGTATATATAATTTTTTTTTTTTTTAACTTGAAGCTCTCAACTAGCTCTACATGGTACAGTAATAGATCTATTTTTTAAATAATTTTTTAAAAAATTTCGTAAAAATTAATTAATCATTTAATATTTATATAATAGTTGAATAATTTTTATAAACTATTGAAAAAAAGTAGCTCTATTACCATGTAGAGCTAGTCGAGAGCTTTAAGTTAAAAAAGATTTTATAAACTTTCGTTAGATATTTGTGCTAATAAATGTAAATTTAATTTTATAATTATTCTTATAATCATGTATAAATCGTCGAAAAAATTGATTAACGATAATATCAAAGTTTAACCATTAATAAATCCGAAATTATTGTTTGATTTTATTAGTTGAGGCACCACCCTTCTTTGTGGAGGTAGCTACCCTTGATCTGGCAATATGCCTGTACCTATACCAAAGACATCTCAAGAACTTTGTAATACAATCAGACCCCCTAAATGCAACCCCCCTAAGTGCACGTCCTATGAAAAGCCTCCCTAAATGCACGCCTTCTCTTGAGCCCAACTAGATTTTTACCTCCCTAAATGCAATACCTCTTTAAGTGCACGTTTGGCTAAATTTTTACATATGGTCCCGTCGCATTGCATTTTATAGTATGTTGTAAAGCTAATGTCTTATAAACGAATCTTCATATAGTCACAAAATAAAAATTATCAAAACTTTATATATCGTAAATTCTGCGTTATTTCGATCACCTACGCCTACTTTTTTGATATATACATTTAAATGTACTCCAAAATTTTTATACTTTTTTGATAGCCAAATATATAATAATCTCATGATATATTTAGTAAATACGTATCATATTTCAATATTTCAAATAATAATAATTTAGCGGTTAGCGACTGTTCAGTTTCTTCGATTAATAAAAAAAAAACCAATGTTAATATATTTAACACAAATAACTATTCGTTACAATGCTCAAAATATAATTTTTTAACAATTTCAATGAAATTTGTTGATAGTTTTCACGTTTTATCTAAGTTTTATCGGTTGAGAGTTTTCACATTTTAATTAAGCGTCAAAAATATATAGTACTACTCTATCACATGGCTAGTTTATATTTTTATCAAGTTTTTATTATCATGAGTAGGCGTCTCTAGTCTCGACTACACAATATGCTGTACAGCAGACTCGTGACCCGCACTTTGGGGCTGCCCTGGCTGTGTCAAAACGGATGTATATCAATGTAGAGTGAGATAAAAGCTTCTTTGATACTATTATTTACTATACTTCTATTTATTTTACTTTAGTGGTATGATTTTGCACCATAGGTGTTCACTATATGGAGAAGTGCAGGTAGGATTTGCTTTCTATAATACAAATACTGTAATGACATAGACAAAAAGGTATTATACAATGATAATTATGTTTATGCAGTTATGGAGTATAGTAAATTATTAAAGATAGAAAAGGAAGTGCAAGTAGTAAAATAAAGACATCAGCAAAAACATAAGCACTAGAATAGAAAACTATACCTAGGGTTCCACAATTTGATTTGATTTGATTTGATTTGAAATTCAAATACAGAAATTTCAAATCAAATCAAATTCAAATTGACAAAATATTTGATTTGATTTGAAAATATTTAATAAAAGTTACAAATAAATTTGATTTGATTTGATTTGATTTGATCAAATCAAATACCAATCAAGAGCTTATTCAATTCGATCGAATTCAAATATGCCTAATATTCAATTTGATTCGACTTTGAGGAACCCTAACTATACCTAATGTATCTATTATTCCCAAATAAAGTAAATAATAATTGATCAATATAGAAGTTATTGATAATTACACTATCTAATTTATTAATCTCTGGTATATAATTTTTACAGCCTTGCACAGATTATAATAGTACTGTATATCCTTTCATTTTTGTACATAGGTTATGCATAATTTTGATCTCTTTTTTTTGTTTTTTCTATCTTTGTCTTTTTTTATTTTTATATTGTCAGTGTGTATTTTTATCCCTATTATATTTCCTTTATATTTGTTTTCTTTTTTTTCTTTCTATATATATATATATATATTGGCTTATTTGTTGTAGACGGATTATGGGATAGTCTTTCTACCAAGATTTAGGTAGAAAAAAATTTAAAAAAGAGGTGGTCATGACTAGTGCTTGGCAAAATCAAACAAAAACTCAATTTTCAAGTTTTTGAAAAAGTTGAGCATCTATTAGTTACACAAATTGGGTTTTCAAGCATAAAATTTACTGATAAATGCTCAATTTTTCAAAAACTTGAAAATTGAATTTTTGTTTGATTTTGCTAAGCACTAGTCATGATAGGCTAGTAAATCCCAACCAGTGAATTGTGGATTTGAAATCTGAGGTAGATCTAGAAGAAGCAAGGAGGCTGTTTTTGCTCTTGGCAGGTCACACATAGGTCCAATTAGAAACCAGGTAAATCACACTTTAGTATAAGACGGCATTAGCCAACTAACTTAGGTAACCACATACAAATTTGCTCATACGAATTGCTCTGTCTAATCTCTTAAGTAATAAAGTTGTGGTATGGCTGCTTCGAAAAAAAAAAAAAAATTTATTAATCTCTGCAAGATCTTATTTTTACTTTTTTTGCATATTGACCATACATACCAATATCGATATTTCTATTACAATACTTTTTCTCTTGATAATCGATGTAAATTTTAACGTCCATTCTATTGGTCGGCTCAAAAATAATTCCTGCAGCGACCTATAAAATCGGAGGCCGCCCTGGTCGTGTTTATTCACCTGTATTGAATTAAATTATTTATTTAAATTTAGATTAATAATAATTTAATATTATAAAATTCTACACAAATCTTTATTTTTTATATTTGATACCTGTGGATACAGAATATTCTACAGATTAATACAGTAATAGTAAAATCATGGCCGAAGGTCACATGTTTACTATTAACCTGAGGGTTCACATATATTTATTAAATATAATAATAATATTTTGGTATCTGTCCAAAGGATATGTCCATTGACAGTCAAAAGGTTATAGAAATTTATTTCACTTTGTATTAGTCACCTATGTGAACGAATTTTATTTAACCATCATCTATCCATCATTACATTTTTATGAATTTATACAGTTATAAATATATATATGCTAATAAATAAAGGTCTAAAAAATAAAGGAAAAAAAAATTTGCAAAAGGCATTAAAAATGCTTATTTTTTTCATTAATCTTGAAAAATCATCGAGATTTGAATAATGTTAGTTTTCCCTTCAACCCTTTACGGCTTCCACTATGATCACTATTATTTTTATTGGTTTCAACTTCGTGTTGTGGTAAATTCGTACTCTTTTCTTTGGCTTTTTTCTTAAATTTATTAGTATTAAATATAATTCCTTCATTTTTAGTAATATTTTCATCCAAGCCATCTTGATAAAAATTCTCAGCAATTATCACATCTCTTTCTTCCGTTAATTGTCGTTGAATGATCTGTTCTTTGATTTCTTTTAATAAGCTTGAATTCGATCCACTCTTTTTCCTATTATGACGCATTGGTGACAAAGGAGAGTATTGTGGCGAATTTTGTGTTAATATATTCGTGGGTGATAACGTTCCACTGCGAATTTGTTCAATGGCTATGTCACATCGTTGTTTTAAAACTTTAACAAATTCATATTTCTTAAACTTGTCCGGATTATTATGCACCGACGCGCCAGAATCGGATGACGATTTTGATATTATGCTTAAATTACTATCTCGGCGTGACGCTATACCACCGCGAGATGTTGGTCTTGGACCTTTTAATACCCATTTAAATTGTTCCATGGCTGCTTCTTGATCTCCTAATTTTTTATAGAATAGTTCACCAAGCTACAGTATTAAAAATTGAATAGTATTTCGGTGAGATTTTATATTCATTATTCGTAACTATTTTAAATGTATCGGACATTCATATAATAAATATGTAAACCTACTTCATATCTACAGTGAGGGATAACCCAAGTCTCGTTAACAATACTAATTTCCAAAGTTAAACATTCACAGAGTGTCGCTTGAGCAACTGTAGGATCATCATTAATGGATTTTTCAAAGACTCCGCGAATGAGTAAGTATACCGAATTTACATCAGGATCAACTGGCTTTGGAACTTTCTGTAAAAATAATAAGATCAGAAATAAATTAAAATTTCAAATAAAAATGTAATTACATACCGTCCATATTGCTTCCAACAAGCTTGCCCATCGTTTTTTCAATTCAAACGACATGTAAAAAATATCTCTTCGAAGATATAGAATGATATGTAACAAGAAGGGGGAGCCCAAATCTTTATTAACTTTTGCAGCGTAACGACCAGCAAATTTGTTATAACGATTGGCCTATGAGTATAAACAATTATTTTTTGATTAGCTAAAAATTTAAATACAAATAATAAAAGCTACTGTATAGTTATTGCAAGCTAGCGTTCTATGGGTGATCTTAATTGGTAGGTAACTCAGACAAGTTATTAGACAATTAGGGAGAGAATATAAAATGTAACAATTATTGTTTAAGTAGCACGCAATAACGGTTTTATCAAATGCTTTACTATCATTAGCTTATAAAATAAATCAATATTGATTTGATTTTATTAGCCAGTCATAATAAGGCATTGGATATATAAATTGATATGTATATGGTACTGTTACCTTTGGTTCCTTTTTATCACTAGAAATACCACTTCCAAATCCTACAAGCCCACTCGCACTAGATCCTAATAATCCAAAGCTGCCAACAATACTATTACTACTATTTTCTATTGAAGGACTAGTCATTGCTTGAGTTTGTTTTAACACATCTAAGGCTTCCTTAGTTGCACCTTCTCCAGACTTGAGTATAAAGTAACAACCGGCCAAACATAATCCACAAAATGGTCTCAATTCAAATTCAAAAAGTTGTAATAAAGGTTTATCTTTTTTTGTACTACCGTCACGAGAAGTAAACCGAGAGGAATCTTTCATTGATCCTTGAAGCCTTATTGATCCTTTCTTTCCAGTGTAAATTATAGTGTTACCGTAAAACAATAATTCAAATATATCTTTTGCTGCTGAAATGTCTAAATTCATTAAATATGTCATTCCCATTTCAAACCGATGGTGTGTACTGGTGGCACCAACGTTTTCACAGCTTCTGACACCAGTTGTTATATAATTTATTGCTTCATTAAGACTACCTGCTTTACGGGCTTGCTGACAAGCCATAAATAAGAATGGTGAACCATTTCTGTAATCATAATATCTGTCAGTATTAACGTCTTTAATTAAATAAAACCATTTTAAATTCATGATAATCATTCTACTTACGGGTATTTATTGACACATTCTTTGGCAATAATGCCAGCTCTAGTCAATGATGGTGCAGCATCAGCAATTCCTCGAGGTAAAAAAAGATAATTTACAAGAAGAAAGAATGCAGCAAAAGGAGCTTTTATTTTATACAGGCATATTAAAAATTAAAAATATGCATTAAAAATTATAAATATCTTTATATATTTTTGTAGATATATAGTATATGATTCAAGATAATAGCTTGCATCCTTACCTCGAACACCATCACGAGAATAGCAATTTTCTAATATACGAATAGCTTGCGCTCGATCAACGCTAAAACCGAACGTTTTTAGCATAGACAAAAACGAGCCAGGAACCTGCATGCAACATTTTTAAGCAATTACAGAACATAATAATAAGGCAGGATGATAATGACCGAAAGGAAAACCTACGATGGAAACAATAAAATTAAAAATTCCAATTCCAAACTCGAGACAATCTTCAATGTCAGGATCAACTTTTATCGAGTTGAGACATTGGTTTTCTGGAATTGTCCGATAGAACCTATAGAAAAATCTGATTGCTAATACTAAAATTTCTGATTTCGTGTTATACAAAGCGAAAAATCAACTTTGTGTGGCCTCAAATGCAACATAAAACTATTAATCTATAACAGGTTAAAAAAAAAAAAAAAATCTGACTGTCTGTCCTGAATTTTAAAATCTATGTAATGCAAAATGAAAAATCAACTTTGTGTAGCCTAATCAGTCGACTAGAATTTTTATTTACTAACCAAATTATTATAAATCAACTAATTTTTAACTCTATTCTTAATCACAGGGTCAAAGTATTCACATTAGTGATTTTTTCTGTGAATTTATCAGGCATCTCAAACTTTCAAAATACGAATGTTATATAAATGATTTACTTCCTGATCACACGTGTCTTAAATATACCCAAGCATATATTGCTATCTATCCAGGTGTAAATCGTAATGGTTGGTGGACAGGTGATGATTTATTTGATCAGGTAGTTAACCGCGCTATCCTGATATTTGAATGAACACACCCTGGCAAGATTGCTTTATTTATGTTTGATAATAGTAACAATCACGGTATATTTGCTAAAGATGCTCTTTTGGTCTCAAAAATGAACATGGGTGATGGTGGTAAAAATAAAAAAGGTGAAGATAAAAAACCTCTTCATAATAGTAGCATGCCTGATGGTTCTGAGCATGAAATGAACTATATAGATAGTGAAGGTATAAAAAGGCCTAAAGGAATTAGGCAGGTTCTTCAAGAACGAGGTTTATGGATACAAGGTCTTTTAAAAAAGTGTAATGATTGTAAAAAAAATAGGCCTGATCCAAACAACCTAAACTGTTGCACTTTGCGCATTCTTTCAGCTCAAACCAATTTTGCAACTCAAACATCATGCATACAAGAGGTAAATAAGTTTTTTTTTTAAAAAAAAAAAAAAAAGAAAATTATTTAAAACTATGCATATAAATAATTTAGGCAATTGAAGCTGCTAGCCACATGTGCATCTTTTATCCTAAGTTCCATTGTGAACTTAATTTCATTGAGTTTGTTTGGGCCGAGGTAAAACGTTACGTGAGACTTAATTGTGATTACACTTTTAAAGGCCTCAAAAAAACAGTTTCAGAAGCACTAGATTCTGTCGATTTAATAAAGGTTTGCCATTTTGCTCGCTGTTCTCAACACTTTATGAGTGCCTATAAACTTGGACTTTCTGGAAAGGCTGCTGAATTTGCAGTAAAGAAATATCATTCTTATCGTTGAATTCCAGAAAAAGTTCTTGAAAAATTCGATGAATTCACATATAACTAAAATATTTCGTCTTTTCTTTCTTTTTACTCTGAAAAATATGTATTTAAAATTAATATTATATATTGAAAATAGATAAATATCATGTAAGATCGTAAAATCTAATCTTAATACTTATCTGTTCTAATCGCCATCCACATCAGATTTTACATATCTTTCAATTTCCTTTTTTTCTATCCTTTTGATTGTTTTGAAATTATTCAATCTTATAATCGCATTGATAAATTAATCTATTAAAATGTACCTGTATATGTATAATTTTTGTTAATTTTAAACATAATAAGAATAGATTTGAGATATTTTTTGGTGATCTTATCTTCTTGTGCCATGCAATAGCTTTTCAATAGGAATTAGTAGTGTCTTCTGATCAAGTAACGACTTTATAAGATCTATGTAAGTAGAATTTTATTAAGTCTTAAGTAATAAATCTAATAAATCAAGTGTTAGAGTTAAGATTGAAATAACGTAATTTTCTCTAATTTTTGACATTATTTTGTGTAACTTTGGGCATGGAAAATTCTCATATGGAGTACAGAATGACACCCTAAAAATATCATATAAATAATTACGTATAATTAGTAATTTCTATGTAATGATTTAGATTCACAACCCTGTACCCATGTGATTGTTTAAATCACACTCCGTGCCCTACCTAGTCACATGTATTTTCTCGACTTTTTTACTTTTACATATTTTTTCGACATTTCTTGAAACTTTTTTCGATTAACAAATTTTTTTATATTCGTTAAGTTCATAAGCATTTACTATTTAATCTTATTCTATGTATTAGGGCTTCAAAATTAATAATTTAGTATGTATCTAATTTTGATAAAAAGTGAAGTATAGATCCAGAACTATTATTTTATTTTCTAACATTGATTTATAAATATTCGAAAGTTTATGAATATTTACTAATTTTATTCTATTTTCAAATAGTTTTGCAGAATATTCACGAAAAAGAAATCAATAAACTATTGGAACTATTAAAACAATTATTAAAACAATTGAAATCATACTATTCTCAAGTTTTCTTCTTTAGTGAAGTTTTTTGAGGGCATATTAAATATTAATAATTCGAAAATAAATAAGTAATTTATTACAATAGTATCATATAATAACAATACATCTTCAAATTTCTGGATAATTTCTATTTCATTTTCTAATTTAAAAATTTCAAATCTAATATTTTTAGCTTCAAGGTTTTCCCTGTTATTGTCTTTTGGGTGCTTCTCAACGTTATTGATTGATGTTTTTATGAACCTCATAAACTTAACATTATTTACTTCCTTTCTTCAGGTTTGACATGGGCAAGAACGAGCAAGATGTCGGCTTTGTGGCTACTTATATTTGGTGATTAGACTCCGTGGCTGTCATAGGTTGTAGTAGACTATGCATATAGTGCAAGGTCTGTAGATAAGTAGCACCATATTACTACATAATACAATTCTCATCGTAGCCATATTAATATGATTCCTTCTTAGTTGTGTTCTCCTATCAATCAAAACATGCTAATTGTTTACAACTTTAGGGGTCCCAAACTATATATAAACGGATAGTGCATAACTTCAGAATTAGATCATACGTATTAAAAAGATTGCACGCTCGGTTTGACATACCAAAGTTAAGTTTTACGGTTTACATTAGTGATTTTATGAAAACTGAAATGTGATATGTAGCCTTTATGCTAGAATTACTATATGCGGAAGGTCATTTTAAATTACACTTATCTCCTGTAAACTTGAATTATGCTGGATTGGTCGCTATTTCTACTCCTGCTTAGCGCCTTTTCGATTCGTTGACTTTTTTCTTTCTAAGTCTTTTTAAGCCTTTTTGATTTGTTGACTTTTTTCTAAATCTTTCAAATATGTCAAATATTTCAAATATAGAAAGAGAAGTTGTTAGTGTCGAAATAGAACGTAATCCCCATTTAATAGAAAGGATCTTTGAATTTAATATCGTAGATATATTAAGAAGAATGTGCTTCAGAAGAGCCGAAGCTTTAACAAGGAATATGCAATATATACACACTAAGTGAGTTTTTCTCATTGATTATTTGTCAAGTCATAGTATATCCGAAATTACGCTGCCACATCTGTGTAATGAAATCTAATAGAGAATTGAAAGCTCATCGTGGTGACTATTTTGATAGTTAACATTCTTCTCTATTAGTTATGGATGTTCTTGTAGCTTAATTGGCTCTCTCTGCATTAGAGAGGCACTTTCTGTATTGGGAAGTATTCTTCTGAGAAGTTGGTGAATAGGATATACTCTGGCATTTGAGCATGTAACCATAGACTATTCTGGCCATGTGTCTTTGTTGGTTGATGATGTTGACACAAATATTCACTATTTATTATTTATTCTATAGCGGTTCTGGTGACGGGGGTATAGATATTATATGCCAAATCGCCAGGATCACTATTGTGATTGAATGCAAGAATTACTCAAATTCGCATTCAATACGTAATTAATTATTGTTTTTTTACTACATACAGTAACATCTTCTAAGTGTACATTTTTAAATTTTTTAGATAGAGAGGTCGTTTTCGTACATGATACCATTGTACGAAAATATACTCGTGAAACTGGACGCTCCGCCATTGGCATCATAGTAGCTCCTTTCATGAGTTCATTCTCCCTTGCTGCAGTGAAGGCATCTAATCATTTTAGTTTTTTGGTCTTTTTGTCAGATAGAGATGGTTTTCGTCGATGCGTTTTTTACATAGCTAATAATTGGGGTTGACATATTTTAAGTTTCTTGTGTATGTACCTTTCTTTACATATTTCTTTAATTTCAAATCCACCAAAGTGTGGTACATGGGTCACTTGAGCATTGACCTCTGTGTGGTGTGATCTGGATAACCAACCAACGAATACTCATTTTTCTTTCCTTACTATACATGAGTGCCTAAATTATTTTTGAAAAATCGTATTTTCGGCATTACTAAATTTTTTATATAAAACCCTTCGTAATAACTATATTATATAATGTATTTTGATGAAAAGAATTCAAAAAATTTTCGGCCGGTAATTTTTTTGGCATAATAAATTAAATAAAAATTAATATAATACTATAATATATACGTAATTTACAATGTGGCTAATATAAATAGAAAATTATGCGCATCTCTTGTTGAATTCAAAAAATAGGATATTTTCAAACCAACGTATAGGTACCACATTGCTACGTATACGTAATTAATGAATGCTCAAACCGACAAAAAAAAAGGTGAAATTCTAGAAACTAAATTTCATTTGTTCTAGAAATCGAATTTTTTTTTTTGTAATACCGTCGATAATTTATAAATAGCAGTTTGTGTAATCTATCCTTATATGGCGATGACATGATCGCTTTTCACCATATAAAGCACATTAAAATTGTGCTATGTTTTTTTAAATCGCATCTTCTCAATGAATAAGTCCAAAGTCGCAAAAAAAAATATGTAACTTTGTAGAACTCATCTAGGACTACAGTAT